AAAAAACATAACCACACTTATTAAATTAAGTGACCTGATCTGATGCCATTTGTTAGAATTTTAGGTACCGAATATTCCAGATTTCCACACAAAGATCAAAATTAAAAAACACAACGGAAATAAAATAAACACGAACGATTCAAAATTTAGCGTACAAGTTAAAATACTTATAGACTACGGCCACATGCCAAAAGATTCACTAGAGCAAATTAATCACAATATTTTTCAAACAATTCCAAAACATTTCCAACACGTCTAGTGAACGACGAAAAATAAATCATGAGTTCCACAACACGATGCACTATATCATATCATATCATATCATCGACAAAACGAAGACCATGATAATGTCATGAATATAACAAGAGATAAAAAGTTAAAGAAAATAAGCTCGATAGATCTCTTGTGCAAAGCGAAAGAATTCTTGCTCAATCCGTTAAACTGCACGGTGCCTCCTTGAAAGTAATGTTGGTGCTTGTCTAATGTTCCAAAGAGTGCCAGCCTTTGAAGCCTATCCTCTTTTCATCAATGACACCTTGAAAGTAATGTTGCTGTTTGTCTAATGTTCCAAAGAGTGCTAGCCTTTGAAGCCTATCTTCTTTTCTTTAATAATTAAAACTATATAACATTAAATCTACCAAATATAAAAACTATATATATAAAAAATAAATCAGAAAAGCAAAATAAAAAATTAATAAAAATATGATTTAACAAACTTGAAACTCACTTAAAAAGTATAAGCTAGTTTATCACTTAGATTTATCAAACATAATCTTCTATCTCTATTAAATTTAAAATGGTATATAAAGGTAATTAAATATTATATTGTATTATATTTTAAATTTTAATTATATTTTAAAATAAAGACCGTAACAAATTAAAAATAAAATGGTATATAAAGGTAATTAAATAGAATATTATATTATATTATATTATAAATTAAAGACCCAACATTGCTTCGTCCTTTCGCACTCCATTATCTGGAAAAATTATCTCTTACTTTTTCTTTTTCACCGTTTTCCCCAACGCCATGACCGCCCCCTCTGCTTCCGCACGCAAGGTCCCATTTCTCATCGATATTTTTCAACGTGTTTTAATCGTGTTTCTCTGCGTCTGTTTTGATTTCACACATATTGATTAATTGATCGATTTGATGTTTTTGGAATTGAAAAATGCGGGGAAATTGAAGGCGTTGAGCAAGATCGCATGCAATCGGCTGCAGAAAGAGCTGGTGGAGTGGCAGGTGAACCCGCCCGCTGGTTTCAAGCACAAAGCCACTGATAATCTCCAAAGGTCTCTTCATGTTTCTTGCTTTTCTTTTTTCTGTTAATTTATTTTCTTAATTTTGCATTAGTACATGGGACAGATTTTCGATTTAGATTGTGATTAAGCTTTTTGGCGTGATCAGATGGGTGATTGATGTCAGCGGTGCCCCGGGTACTCTCTACGCAGGGGAAACTTATCAGCTTCAGGTTGATTTTCCTGAGCATTATCCGATGGAAGCTCCTCAGGTATGTGTTATCCTCATATTCGAATTTCATCGTTTTGTGGACAAATTTTGGGAATTTTGGAGTGTAATCTGAGGATTTTTCTGTGGGTTTCGGTGCTGCTTATAATTATACTTTGCCGAGATTTTACTTTTCGGTTCACAGTTTATAGGTTTAGTTATTTAGAGCCTACTGTTGTTTCTTTCTTGGGCAGGTTATCTTTGTTCCTCCAGCTCCTCCGCATCCTCACATTTATAGTAATGGCCATATATGCCTAGGTGAGTTTTTGGTACCCTATCAACATTTGTTTCTTTGCCTCGAATATTAGATGTACTCTATCTTATTGGAAAAAGGGCGATTTAATTTTTCATAGACGCTGTTATCTGACTGAACTTGGTACTGTGGTTTGGCAATTGTAAAGTGTTGTACGACTGGCGTTAGATGAATAAGTAGAATCAAGGTTGTTGTGCTTCGAGTTTCTGACAATGGTGGAGTTGTTCTTAAGTAATGATGGATCTTTCCCTTTATGTAGAGTGTTAACAACTGATGGACGAATTGGTAATTATGGAATGGATGGTTAATGTTATAGTTGCTAAAATTGCATTTTTGACAAGAAGTATTGAGACTTGTGACTTCTGCGCAAGATTTTCTTTTTGGTTTGACAAGTTCTTATGTCTCTGGGTGGTGCTCTGTCATTATCCAATTGAAACTTTGGTGTAGTTTGGAGTAAAGTTTTTGGTACTGAATACTTAATGACAGAAACTTCCTCAAACGTGGAAGTCAAAATTTTTTGTGTTGCAGTACCCGTTTACCTTCAATTATCGTGAGGCAAAGTGAAGATATACTTTTGAACAACATGATAAAGGAAAAGTCCAAACTGTTACCTTGCACACCTTTTCCAAATATTAACAGATTCATTGATCCGATGATGAAGAAGAAATACATTTTGACAGTACCGGAAATGTTTATTTTTTTTCTCTTTCTTTTTCATTATTTCTAGACAATGTAAGGCTAGGCATAAAATCTTGACCCCTCCTCTCTTCTAGTTTTTGTCCAACAGATGAACTTTAGTAAAATATGTTGATTCTTTCTTCCAAATGTTACATCTACAGATATTCTGTATGACTCTTGGTCCCCAGCTATGACTGTAAGTTCAATTTGCATCAGCATTCTATCTATGTTGTCAAGCTCCCCAGTTAAGGTATGTGGTTCATTGTTTTTATCCGATTATGCAATTCGATTTGATTTTGCTTCGCCCTCTGTTTTACCTTAAATGTTTTTTGTTCATTTTTGGGACCCACGCAGCAACGTCCTGCCGACAATGATCGTTATGTAAAAAACTGCAAGAATGGGCGGTCTCCCAAGGAGACAAGATGGTGGTTCCATGATGATAAAGTGTGATGATCGATCCCCAACGCTCGAGTCTCGAGAAACTGTAATATTCGGGTCTCTCTAGGGCTGTTTAATTATCTACCCCTATTATATATGAATTTGAAAAGAATGGAAGTTTTTTATTTTACGTTGCGCGGCAGGCAACAAACCATTTGGTAGCAGCTTACATTCTATCGATTGTGTCTTTATTTGTCTATTTGTCAGTAGTTTATTTTTCTCTTGCGAAAGCTTGGATAGATTGTTAGTTTCTTACAACCGAGGGAAGTGTGAAACGAATCAAACTAGGGCTTGCTCGGTTTTTGACTAGGTTGTGTGATACAGTTCCTCATTAGCCAGCATGTTTTGTTGATAACTGTATTGATTTGAC